AAACGAAAAGTAATATAATGACAGGTTCATTACCTCCTGCCGCCGTCAGATGGCAGCAGCATGCAGGGCGTACAAAGTCGCAGCTGTAATTAGATTACTTTTCTACTTTTTGTTTTGCAACCATGTTTTTCTATGGATTCATACCGTCTTTTGGATTTAGGAAATTTATAAGATGAGGATTTTGGCTGATTTTGTTAAAAGTGTTCGTGTTTCGAGAAGAAAAGTATTTTAAAATGAATATTATTTCACGTTGAGCGCGATAATTAAAACTCTCTTCTTGCTAAAAAATTTCAGATACCGTTCGACACTCTTAATGCATAAATATAAAAACAAAACAAAAAAATAACTTCAATGTTAATAAATTTATATGAACCCAAATCTAAAACATCTATTATCTATATATAAGTATACATTAAATAAATTCTGGTTCCTCATAAAACACTATTTTTATATATTTAAAACTCAATTTTTTTTTTAATTTGGCACGTAAGTTGATTTTAAAACCTATTGAAAAATGGTTTTTATTTATTTAAGAACCATAATCAAAAAGAATTTTTAAGTGCCAACTCATTTTTATTTAAACCTCCTTCTGGCGCACACCGTGGGCTGGCAGTGCAGATTGCAAGTCAGAATATTTGTTCGTCCGTCCTCAATGCGATCCGTGCGAGTCAGATAATTGAGAATGCGTCCCAAAAGCCACGGTGATGATAGTGAACTCCCGCAATGGTAATGATAAAGGACGGTGGTCTGTGTTATACTTGCAACTTTTATTGTCTGAGGAGGTTTGCTTTAGAGTTTTTCTGGCATCAATCTCGCCGCTGCCAACAATTAACAAACCTGTGTAACATTGGTCAATAAGCATCCCAAAATGCCAAATGGTTCAATCGTGATGTTCCAATAGGCTAAAGATAAAGAATGGTGGCTTCGGCAGGTGTTGCCGCTTGCCTTGACCTGAAGTAGTTCCGAGTTTTTCGGAAATTCCTACCTTTCGGTTGGTCTTGGCATATATGTGGTGCATGTTGTCGTATTTAAACGGTAACCGACCGCCAGTATGGCCTCCGGTTCCCCGGATACTGGAAAGTGGTACTCATACCTGAGTAGAATGGTACCACGGGACGTGTTTGGAGCCCAGGAGACCTTCGGGTCTCCGCCAGGCATTGGGTATGGATTCGTGGTGGCAGTGGTTACAGCCCACATCGCTTGGAGTTAGCACGTTGTGCACACGTCTTTCACATTCGGTGTGTGAGTTGCATTAACTCAACTCGGGTGGAAACCTGCAGAGTTTCCAGGGATTGGAAAGGTCCCGACTCTCACCAAGAGTGGCAATCGTGACTTAGGTCGGTCGCATTGTCAATGGGCAGGTGACTGGAAGAAATTCTGCGTCAGTCAGGCATTAACTCTTGACCCCATGTCCCATGGGGAACCGTGCTTGTATACATGTATATGGAGGTCTTGCACGTTAAACATTTAGACGATGCTCGGTAACTGATTATACACTTTTTAGTTTGAGGTTATGTTAGTGGACTACTAAAATTGGAAACATTTTGCATATTTGAATTCAAAGATTAGAATTTAATTGGAAACACCATTTTTTTTTAATCCAAAGATTAGGATTGTTGATTTAATTAAAAAGATATTAAACTTTGATGCGCGGTGAGATTTTCAAAGATCGAAAAATCGTATATATATATGTGAAGATAATCAGATAAAGTGGGATTAGAGTTGAAAAATCCTATCGTATAAAAGCAGATTAACTCTCGATGGAAGGGAGATGGGAAGGGGGGTGACTTCCGTTTGGCTCGATAGAAAATCACGGATGTGCGATCGGATAAAAATCGGAATCGAGAATCGGCACTTTCCTTCTTTTAATTAACGGCACGCGTTTCTAAAACTCAATATTTATATAAAAAAATATATATAGAAGTGTACCAAGTTTTAAAGTGAACGTAATATATAATACCAGTCACGTTTTTAAAAGATTATAAGTAAAAGTGAAATTCTTTTTTGCAATACCACAAAAAAAACTGGGAAATTTAAATTTTTTTACAAACGAAATTTCGTATGAATTAATTTTTTCTTCACAATATTTAAATATTTTTTATACTATCTTTAAAAAAAATCTCGTATTTTTTACTATATATTAAAAAAATATTTTTTGCTTTATTGTATTTTCATTTGTAAAGTGACTGTGAATAAAAAGCGGAATAAGACAAAAAATAACTTTTTTTTGAAAGAATTGAATTTTTTTTTTCTTTTTTTTTTAAAAAAAACGGTGTATGTTTTAAGAATTCTTTGCATGTAGAGTTTCAGAAGAAGCGAAGGTAAAAAGAAAAAGAGTGGAATATATGTATAGCTATATCGGTGTTCTCACACCGTAGTTCCTTCTTTGAGACTTGGTCGTTTTCAACTGGAAAGTAATTTTCGAAACTCTTGTAATCGCCGCTGTAATTACACGACTTTTCGCGTACTTGTGTGTATCACTGTTCATCGATCGTCAAGTTTTACTATAATTTCAATTGATCCTTCGATATATTGAAGAAGGAAACAATTTTTTTAATAGAATCCAATTAATACTTACGGGTCAGTTTTGTGTTATTAAAAATCTTTTAAAACCCAGAAAATTAAAAAAAAACATTTTAATTAATTAAAAACAAAATTTAACTTTAAATAGTGCTGCCCGTCTCGGTTTTTCAAAACGAGATCGATACAAAGTTTTACTAGACCGAGAATCTCGACGATACTTTTAAAAAAATAAATTAAAAATTATTATTACAAAAGTTTTGTTTATAATTTTTAAATTAATTTATTAATTTCTATAATTAATTACAAATAATTATCAGATATGTATTTTTTAATATTAAAATAAAATTTTTAATAAAATAAAAGAAATTAGTCAATTCCTACAAATAACTGAGGAAAAATTCTCCTATTTCCTAAATTAATTAATCCATCATAAATAAACGAATTTCACCATTTGATTTGTCTAAGATATATTATAATATTTATAACATTTTAGAATGCTCAAACTTGTCAAGAAAGGGAAATCTATTTATTTCTCTGAAAATCAAACTGAATAAATAATTTTAAATAAATTATTTATTTCCTAAATTAACTAACAATTTGAAGGGACAGGGATTCATAATCAATTGAATCTTATAATTGACAAATTGATCGTCTATTGCAATGAATTTGAAATATATGTATCTTCAAGAGACATACGATTTGTTTTTGTTACCACTTAACAGATCCAGATAATAAGATGGGACACTGAGTTATCAGTTACCCCTTAAATCTTTCACAATTACTTGACATTGTAATAATTATGTTGTATATATTTAAGTAATAATTTAATTTTATTTTCTCTTATTTCTTCTACTTTACCTAATTTTTTCTTTTTTATGAAATCAAGAATTTTATAAAATATTATTTTCTCAATTAATTATAAATTGAAATAGTTATAAAAATAGCCTCTCAAATATTAAATGAGACAAAATCTATAAAAAAAAAATTATAATTAAAATTTTCGCGGCGTCTTTTTTTTGGTAAGCAATAATATTCAAATTATTTTGCTAAGGACAGAGCGATTCTTCTCTTTTTATTTCCGTTAGTAAAGTTTGTGGAGAACAATGCCATTGTCTACCTGTCAATCATTTTTCTTTAACTAAATTTAATTTCTTAAAAAAATAATAACTTGATAATTATTTTATTTTAACCATTAATTTTTAATAAACAATAAAATTATAATAAATTATTTTTATTTTTAAATAATTTCAATTATTTTAATTTATAAATATTTAAATAAATGTAAAATTATATTTTATTTAATAATTTTTATGTATTAAAAGAATTTGATAATTTAATTAAAATTAATTTTAATATTCAACGCGACAGAGATCAAAACTGAATTTTATTTTTAGTAATTTATTATTATTATTATTATATTATTATTTATTAATAATCATAAATTTAGAAAAATTTAATTTTTGAATTTAATGTTTTTTGAAACTTATAAATATTATTATAATAATAATTATTATTAAAAACAAAAACCGATCTATTCAAGTTTTCTCTTGCAAAAAAATGTTTTACGAAAATAATTGTTATCTCCATTTGATAAGAATGAATGACATAAAATTTATAACACTGGCAATACAATGTCATAGTAATTCAAGAATATAACTTTGAATTGTACTCAATGGGGCTATGCCGACTCGTATATGTATGCGATATGAGATAGGCTTTAAATTGCAAACTTGTCTTGTGGGAGAATAATTTCATCTGTCTAAATGAAATTCTATGAGAATATAAGAAAATTATTACTTAATATTTTACAAAATTTTCTATACTTTAAAAATTTAAAACACTGAAATTTTTTTATAACTACCGTGTAATAATTTGATAATGTTGAGAGTAATAAAAAAAAAGAGATGACATTTATAATCTTTTGATTTTAATGCAAATTTTTTTTTGTTTTTTTTTGCTGTTTCCTATTTTTGTGTGCAGATAATTTTTCGGATTTTAAATTATACTGAATTATTATAGTAAATTTAGTACTCATATTTTATATCCTACCACTTATCTTTTTTTACAGATGAGGGTTGGTCACATTTTTAACGGAATGTAACTCCACCCTCACTGAGAAAAAAGAAGGAAAAAAAAAACTTGACATTCTTTTTAAATTCCCCTATTCCATTTTTACCAATGAAAATAAATTTTCGTTTTTCCCATCTAATTTGAATTATTTATTACTCGAAATTCATCATTCATTAAATTCAAAAAAAAAATGAATCATATTTTTCTTTAATTAAAATTATAAAAATTTCATTATTATTTATTAATTTTTAATTATTTTTACTATTTTTAATAGTAATGTTTAATTATTAAATAATAGTAATTAGTATTATTTAATAATTAACAAAAATGATTATTATTTTATAAATTATTAAAAAAGGGACTTTTAAATTTTTTAAACTAAATAATATTTATTTTTTTTTACTTACTTAACAAGTTCGCAGATTTCCGGAGGTATTTTTTCAATTTTATTGTCTGATAAATTAAGAATATTTAAATTCTCTAACTGTAACAATTCCCATGGTATTTTTTGTAGATTATTCCTTTCCAAACAAATTGTACGGAGTTTTGGAAATCTGTACAAAAAAAAGAAAAGAATAATGTAAATATTTATTATTTCAAAGAGATTCAATCCATTAACCTAACCTCAAACTATGGGAGGAACGTGAAACATAGCGGCCATTTTGGATTGTAGTACAAGTAAAAATTGTGGCGCGCAAGTCAGGTGCTTAGTGATAGTGAATCGGCGTGTATTCACTGTGATCAGCCGAAATATTGATCTCAATCGATCGTGGTTTTCTGTTGTCAAGTGTTTTTTTTTTTATTTATTTGTAAAATTGACTATTTTATGTGTAAATAAAATGGTTTTACTGTGTTCCTACTGTGATTTCAAAAGCTCGCCAATTTAACAAAAATGAATATTTTCAAAATCGGCCACGTATTTCTTTAGCCATTCAAATGTAAATTCCCTCATAACAAAAGGATATCCATAGGATATCCATATCAATAGTCGATATCCTAGAATGGTCCCAGGATATCTTGGGATATCCATAGAATATCCCTAGGATATCCAAACAGTCGGTCTGTGGGACATCAGCAGGACATCCATAGGATATCCACAGGATATCCCTAAGACATCTACAAAATATCTACACTGTAAAAAATCTTTTTGGAGATTGTACATTCACAATTTGTATTTGTGTTAAAATTTGTAAAATTACTATATTCAATAAGGTTATGTTACTACATTAAAAAAAGCACTTTTACAATTTTCTGTAAATTTACTACTTTCAAAGTGGGTAATAGGTGACGGATGCAATAACTAATTATGTTTCACCTATTACCCACTTTGAAAGTAGTAAATTTACAGAAAATTGTAAAAGTGCTTTTTTTAATGTAGTAACATAACCTTATTGATTATAGTAATTTTACAAATTTTAACACAAATACAAATTGTGAATGTACAATCTCCAAAAAGATTTTTTACAGTGTATTGGATATTATATCTCAGGATATCAATAGGATATCCATATCAATGGTCGATATCCTAGAATGGTCCCCAGGATATCTTAGGATATCCCTAGGATATCCAAACCGCCGGTCTGTGGGACATCAACAGGACATCCATAAGATATCCACAGGATATCCCTAAGACATCCACAAAATATCTATTGGATATTATATCGCAGGATATCCATGGGATATCCTCAGGATGTCCGTGGGATATTCGTAGGATATTCACGGGATATTTAATATCTCAACATATATTTTTAAAGGTTAAAATTGTTAAGCTAATATAATGAATAATAATATAATAAAAAGAAAAATCTTATGAGCTTCTAATTTATTTTAAATGAAGATTTGAAACGCATTTTTCAAAGTTTTTAAATAAACTCATGCACTTAATGTATAATTAATATTAATAGTTATTCGTTATTTGCGGGGAAGAATTTATATTGTTTAAAGCCAATTTATTTTCTGACAATATTAAGCATATGAATAAAGGAATGAATCACGAATGAGAAAAAAATTAGTTAATAATTTTTCAAATTAAACAAATTTCTCGAAAAACAAGTTGCATTTTATTTTATTTATATAAAATTTAATTCACAGAATATTCTCACTCGTAATCTCATAATGACTTTAAAAACAGTATCCTGAGAATATCTTCTTGACATCCAGAAAATATACTGAGAATATCCTGAAAATATCTGTGGGATATCCTGACGATATCTATGGGATATCCTGATGATATCTGTGGGATATCCTGACGATATCTATGGGATATCCTGATGATATCTGTGTGATATCCTGACGATATCTATGGTATATCTGGAGGACATTTATGAAAGTCTATAGAGATATCCAAAGGATATCCAAACCGCCGATTTTTTGGATATCCTTAAGAGATCCTTTTGATATCCATAGGACATCCCTAGGATATCTGCGGGATATTATCAATATATCCCAAGATATCTTGTGTTATTAGGGTTAAGAAAAAAATTTTTATTTTGTTCCAAATTAACTTTTGCAATCTGTGTGCAGATAAAAATATGACTAACAATATTCTTCAATTTAATTATCTTCCTATTTCTCCGTCCACGAAAAAAATAGCAAAAAAAAAACATTAAATTATAGCCTCCTAATGTGGTGTAACCATTTTGACTTTTAATATTTTTGAAATCTAATTTTTTAAATTAAAAAAAAGTGTTTTATATTTTAAATTTTTATATAAATTTTCTTCTACTTGCCTTTGAAGTAAATTTAAATTACTATTGACATTAGACAATTGATTTTGACCCAACATTAGCTCCTCAATAGCAGGAAAAGCCACGGCGCTATTTGGAATTCTGCATAATCCGCCTTTACTCATATCCAATTTTTTTGGACATGACGAAAGTTGTGAAGCCTGAAATAAAATTGATAAAAAAGAAAAGTTAATTAAAATTAATAATATAGTAATTATTAATATCTTAATATCTTAATATCTTGCCTTTTCGATAATATTATAAGAAAAGTCTCACGCGATCTCAACATTCTATAAAAAATAGAAAAAAAAAAAATAAAAGTATCAGACTTTCCCGCATATACACACGTAATTTATAATTAATCGCTTCATGATTTATTGAAGCGACCCAAATGGATGTTTGCGGTTTTATTTTATAAATACCTCACGTTATGTAGTTTTTTTTTAATTATTGCGAAACAAATGCGATTATTATATAATATGTATAATCTTTAATAAAATCGTATAATATTATAAAAGCTGACTAATGAGCTTTGATAGTGTTCTGGTGATTTAAAAAAAAAAAGTGGCAAGCAGATAAAATGTGTACGAAGATCATTTATTTATATTTCTGTTAAAGTAACGAAGCAATTTACTTGAAATTTCAGTTAATGTTAAACCATCATCTGAATAATAAGTGAAAACATGAAATTTATATTATGTTATTTTCTATACTTTTGTGTCTTTTACGTAAGTATTACTAAATTTAAAATTAATAATTTTTTTTACTATACTTTTATTTTTTAATCATTTATTATTTTTTTTATTATTCATGAAATTAGGCATTTACTTATTTTATTTCATTTTTAAATATTATATTTATTGATACTTTTGTTTATTAACCCTAGACAGTATAACACAGCTCATACATAGAATTACAAATGGGGTAGAAAAATACCCCAAAAATAGTTTTATTGTTAGAATGTTCATATTTAACGTAAATTAACTTTATTATAAGTCATTTTCTTCGTTTTTTCATAAGGAAGAAGATAGCGTTTTTTGTTTTTTGATACACTCAAAAATATGATCAAATAATTACAAAAAACACAAAATTTGAAAAACTAACATTTTTTATAAAAAAAATAGTGTATCTTCTAAACAAATTAATATTTTTTTAATGTCTGTGGATTTGTAAAGCTGAATAGATCACGGTGCGCCAGAAGGTGATTTAAATAAAAATGAATTGGAACTTAAAAATTCTTTTTGATTATGATTCTTAGATGAATAAAAAACATTTCTCAATAGTTTTTAAAATCAGTTTACGTGCCCGATTTAAAAAAAAATAGTTTTTATATAAACAATAGTAATTTTATAGGGAATCAGAATTTATTTAATCCAATAAATACTGTAATAAATGATAAAATAATTACTTATTTTTAATTTTACAGATAAATAATTATATTGCTGTAGTGTTTGTATTTGATTTTAAAAAATTAAATTATAATGTTAAAAGAACTATTTTAAGAGGGACAAAATTTATTTAAGAGAGTCGAATGGTCTCTGAAATTCTTTGGAAAGAAGAGACCTTTAATTATCGCCCTATAAAAACGGCACTAAACGTGAAAATGATAAACATTAATTTTAAAATACTTTCTTCTTGAAAGACGGACACTTTTTTACAAAAGATTCTTATCTTATATAAATTTCCTAAATCCGAAAGATTATGCGAATCCATACAAAAACACGATTGCAAAACGAAAAGTAATATAATGACAGGTTCATTACCTTCTGCCGCCGTCAGATGGCAGCAGCATGCAGGGCGCACAAAGTCGCAGCTGTTATTAGACTACTTTTCTACTTTTTGTTTTGCAACCATGTTTTTCTATGGATTCGTACCGTCTTTTGGATTTAGGAAATTTATAAGATGAGGATTTTGGCTGATTTTGTTAAAAGTGTTCGATAGGGCCGTAGTTTGAATTTTATCTGGGGTACTTTTGTACCCCAGTTGTACTATGTAGAGTTAATAGTTATTTATTAATATTTTTTTAGTTATTTATTTTATTAATTTGTTTTACTTGTTAACTTAATTAATATGTTTTTTATTATATTTACTGAATTAATTTGTTTTTATTTAATTAATTAATTCATTTATAGGCCTGGGGCGATCCAATTCTTGAATTTAAAACAATATTGGAAGAAACAGCTAAAACAATTGCTGAATATGAACATGAATTTTTCAATTCAATTATTGTTGTTGTGAGTAATTTAAAAGATACTTCAACAGAAGCACTGGGCGAATCATGGAATGCTACACTGATTTCTACTGAAGTATGTATAATTTTTATATATATTTTATTCATTTATTTTGTTTTTACAACTTCAATATTTTTTTTTCCTTTTTAGATTTTAAACGTGAAAGCAGATACAAAAGAGAAGAAGGATTGTATTGAAGTTGAATCGAAGAAATTAATTGAAATAATCAATAGTGTCGCATTTACTCTTGATAGTTGTAGAGAAAACTCTTCAGCGACCAGTCAACCAATTAGAACGAAAATTCAAGATATTCATAAAGTATACTGAATACAACAATATTTTTTTCTATTTTTCATTTATTTTTTTAAATTAATTTTTAATTAGCAAATAAAATTCTAAAATATTATTTTCATTTATAAATTCAATTTTTTAATTCATTTTTTATTATGAAAAACCTTTTATTCTTGCTTTTTTTGAAAATTTTATTATTATTTTTTAGGCATGTATGTCTATGGAAAATGAATTGGATACGATTAGATCGTCATGTTCTCAAGATGTTGAAAAATCAGAGGAATGTATTTCTTATAAAGTGAATGAGCTTCGAGTTTCTTTGAAAAATATTTTGGAACAATTGCAAACCTATATGATTGATGCTGGTACCATAAAACCCCAAATATTGAGTAATGCAATGAATTGTAATGCAAAAATATTGAAGGAAGTTTATGAACAAGTGATAAATATACAACAAAATCTTGAAAAATGTGTTTAGAGACGATGTATTTTTAATATTTAATTACAAGAAAAAAAAATCGAGGGGCAAAAAAATCATTAAGAAAAATTATTATTTTAAAGTAATTTATTCGAAATAATTATTGTTCAGACGAATTTTTCGTTTTCTTTATTATCATTTCAAAGAATACTTTTTATACGAATTTTTATTTAACAAAATTTTTAGCTAGCGAATTTTTAGTGAGGCAGAATTTTTATTTCCTATTCATTTATATTTACATGATTTTGTATTTAAAAGAATTTTAATTTAATCGATTTTTAATTTAATAAAATTTTCATTCAGTCGATTTATTTTATGATTTGAATTTTTTAAATGACAGAAATTCGAATTCACCGAATTCTAATTTGTCCGAATTTTTAATTAGTAGAATTTTTAAAACGCCGAATTTTCATTTGTTCGAAATTACAAATGGCCAAACATAAAATCGGCAGAAATATTTTGGCGCAATTTTTAAATTTGCCCAATTCAAAATTATCCAAAAAAAACGTTGATTGGTCAATTTTTAAAATTGCGCCGAAATCTTTCTGTTTTTCGGCCTTTTATAGTTTCGTTTAAATAAAAATTCGGCGATTCAAAATTTCTGTCATTAGAAAACAAAAATTCGGTATAAAAAAAATGTTGCTATATAAAAATTCGTATATAAAAATAAAATTTATCAAATTTTCAATTAGAAAATTAAAAATTCGTCTAAAAAATAATTATTTCTAATAAAATACTTGAAAATAAAAATTTCAATTGTTTTTTTAATGGAAAATTCATGCGCCTCAAAAATTTTCTTTTAATATAAAATTTGTAGAGAAAATAAAAGAATTTTAAATACTTTAGATTGAATAAATTTTATTGATCAATATATTTTTATATAATAATAAATATACTTCCCGCATTTAACTATCATAAAATGATTATGATGAAAAAAGTATCAAGTTTCCCGCATAAACGTGATTTCTATGTATATTTAATTAAATAGTAGAATACAAAAAATTCACCATTCAAATTACATAAGATAATTTATAAATTGAAATTCAATATGTAATACGATGTGTGTTTCAATTTATATTAATTGGATGTAAATTAATTATATAAATAATTTATCACAAAATTCGCGCAGACAATTATATAAAAAAAAATCGGATAAATAATTAAAAGAAAAAAAAAAACTTCTTTAGTGGATACTGAATTTAGAACAAATCTCTCCCACTTGAAAAAATTGAAATGACGGTTATCATATATAAAAATAGAAGTAGCTTTGTTTTAATTTACTATAGTTGATTGAACAGTGAAAACATGAAGTTTCAATTTATTGTGTGGGTTTTATATGTTTCTTGTGTTTTTCAGGTAAGTGTAAAACTAATTTTTAATTACTATTAATTTAATATATTTATTAATTACTAATGATTATTATTATTATTATTAATATTAATTTATCATTAATATTTAATTAATAATTAATTTTCGATTTTTGCATTCAAAGGTACAATTAGTCAATTGATTAATTTTACTAAATAAAAAATCTTTATATTTATAGAATTCGAGTTTCTTCCAAAAATTTTCTTGTCTCTAATGAATTAAAGGATTTATAGAAATTTAGGTAGAAAACTAATGTGAATTATAATTCGTTCTTTATATAATCCTTTTCTAATTCCGCTTTCAATGTATTAAAATTATAAAAATTTAATGTAAATTTTGAGGTTATGTTCGCTTCTTGATTAGGGGAATTTGAAGTTATGTTTATCGGACATACCCAACGGTCCCTTGACCTTTGTCTTTGAAATTAGAGGTTATGTTTGAACTAAGGTCTTGAATCCTGAAAACCAATGCCCTAAAATTTTGAGGTTATGTTTGAGCTCCAACCTTGAATCTTGGAACCCTATGCCCTTGAATTTTAAGGTTATGTTTGATCCATGACCTTGAATCCTGGAGATCTAGGACCTTGAATTTTGAGGTTATGTTCGTTTTAATACTAATACAGGTCGTATGGGTCGTTCCACCTCAATTCACCTGTTGGTTTGAGGTTAAAATCAGAATTAAGATACTAATATAAGTACATATATGGGTCATTCCATATTAAGTGTAACCAACTCATGCTTCTGACATGGTTAGTACAATGGTTGTTATACTTGATATGGAATAACCCATTCCTAACCTAACCTTATCCTAACCTAACCTAACCCAACCTTCTCAAAACCAGGGCCGTAGTTTGAATTTTCTATGAGGTACTTCTGTACCCTAAAGAGGGTAAAGAATTTTTTTTTTTTTTTGTATTTCTTCTAGGGTTAAAAATAAAAATATATATTTTATAACAATTTTTCTTTTCAACAGGTTAAAAGTGATTATATGAAAAAAGTGAAAATATTTGCAAATTTAACAGCACGAAAAACACTCGAATATGATCAGGAATTTTTTGATTCATTAATACTTATGCTGAGTAATATGAGGGATTTAACTGCATATTCTTTATTTGATACATGGAATTCAACTCACATTTTGTTTAATGTAATAATCAAGTTTATCATATCAGATATTTTTTTTTTCTGTTTTTAATTGTAATTTATTGTATACGCGTGCACTTTTTTAGAATGTAAGCGCATTAGCTGAAAGTGACATGGAAAATGAATGCATTGCAGTTGAACAAAAAAAATTGAGTGACATTGTCGATGGAGTAGCTGCTCCTCTTTTTAATTGCGGTCGACATGCTTTAGAATTTGGAAATCCAATTCGTAAAAAAGTCCAGGATATGCATCAGGTTTTTTATTTTTATTTTTGTAAAATTAATTTTTTTTATTATTATTTTAATTTTTCTTCTATTTTATTATTTAATTAAAAGAATTATAAATATATAAAAAAAAAGTTTTTTTTAAATAATTATATTATTATAATTTTTATTTCTAGACGAGTATGAAGATTATCAACGATTTGCAATTAATTGAAGATACATGTTTATTGGAAAATAATAAACGAAAGAATGACTGTAATCACATTCGAGTTGAGGAGCTTGAAACTTTATTGAATGGTTTATTACAGCAACTGATTACTTTCGAGATTGAAGGAGGAACTGTAAAGCTTACTACACTTAGTTATACTTTAGAATGCAATGCAAAAGTTTTGTCTACTGTACATAATGAGATAACGAATATGCAAAAAAGACTTAAGGAATGCATTAAATAAATTTGAAAATTATTCCTCATGTCTTCAAAAGAATAAAATAATGTTTTAATTTGGATTTTATTTTAGTTATTGTTAAATTAAAATTAAAAAAAAATTTTATTTTAATTAAAAAATTAAATTTACCTCCATCTCCAAAGAATCGGCTTCCATCGTGTCCTTATTAAAATTGAATTCTTCCATAATTGAAATAAAATTTCCAGCGTGTACCATTTTTTATAACGAAAATACATTGGAAATTAAATTGTAATTGCGCCTTGTGGCTCTTCAAATTTTATTTTTCTTCTTAAATTTGCTGATACTTTTAATTATTTTTCCCTGCATTATTATTGCATTATTGCTACTACTATTATTATCAATAATAATAATTACTACTATTATTAATAATAATAATTACTATTATTATTAATAATAATAATAATTACTATTATTATTAATAATAATAATTACTATTATTATTATAATATATTATTATCACAGAAAAAAAGGTGGGTAAAAAGTTGTAAAGATAGAGGATAAAAGTCGTTAGGATACAGGGTAAAGGATAAATTTGTGATGGATAAAAAAAGTTACTAAAATATTACTAGAAAAATGGATGTCATATTTGAGTAAACTGTCTAATTTTAATAAAAATATTAGTAATTTTACATTTAACTTATTAAATCCACAAATTTTATATAAATAAGTAATTGCATGTGGAAATATTTTGCCTATAATTATTGTCTATTAATAAAAATATCTTTGACTAATACAACTGACAGCTGACGAAAGTGGGTAAATAATCAGAACTGGGAAATTACAACTCAACGTCTGTATTGTTGCACGAAAGCAGAGTTGGGTAGTAACTGAATTTTTTGTGCATATTAGGTTGTGTCAGTTCATCGAGATATTTCGAGTTCAAGATATGACGTCAGAGGCCTGCAGGGACAACAAACAGACGACACAATATTATTCTTACGGGGAAGAAAATTTGTTTCCACTTTCATCAATTTTATTCATACTTTGAACATGGAAAACGCTTGTTGACATATAATAAAATTAAAATGAGTGTTGATAATTAATTTAGTTATAAAATTGATTCAATTGCATTTATAGATTTTCTGAATTCGTGATAAAATATAAATTTTGAGGTTAGGGGTGTTTGTTTACTAAATTGAAATCTTTTACTGCTGCGGTAATTCCCACTTAAAATATATATATTTTATATCTTTTTTAATAACATACATACTCGATATTGTTTAATAATGTTGTTAAAATGTAAAATGTGATTTGTAAACAAACACCCCTAACCTTAAAATTTATATTTTATCACGAATTGAGAGAATCTATCAATGCAAATGAATCAAATATATAACAAAATTAATTATCAACACACATTTTAATTTTATTAGAAGTCAACAAGCGTTTTCTGTATTTAAAGTATGAATAAAATTGATGAAAGTGGAAACAAATTTTCTTCCCCGTAAGAATAATATTGTGTCGTCTGTTTGTTGTCCCTGCAGGCCTCTGACGTCATATCTTGAACTCGAAATATCTCGATGAACTGACACAGCCTAATATGCACAAAAAATTCAGTTACTACCCAACTCTGCTTTCGTGCAACAATACAGACGTTGAGTTGTAATTTCCCAGTTCTGATTATTTACGCACTGTCGTCAGCTGTCAGTTATATTAGTCAAAGATATTTTTATTAATAGACAATAATTACAGGCAAAATATTTCCACGTGCAATTATTTATTTATATAAAATTTTTGGATTTAATAAGTTAAGTGTAAAATTACTAATATTTTTATTAAAATTAGACAGTTTACTCAAATATGACATCCATTTTTCTAGTAATATTTTAGTAACATTTTTATTCATCACAAATTTATCCTTTACCCTGTATCCTAACGACTTTTATCCTCTATCTTTACAACTTTTTACCCACCTTTTTTTCTGTGATTTAAATTAATTAATAAATATTTATTAATAATAATTTCCTATTATTAGTATTAATATTATTATTATTATTATTTAACGAGGAAAGTGGAAAATCTGCATAACCTTGGAGGCCTACTTCCACTTCCCTCGTTAAAAAATTATTATTTAGTATTTTGATTTTTGTAATATGAGAATAAAAAATGGGAAAATATATCAATATTTGCGGAGTGAGAAAAAATAAATAAATTAAATATTAAAAAGGTATATTTTCCCTTTTGAAAATAAAAAAAAAAATTAAATTATACTTTTTCTTTTTTTTTTGTCATTAAATTTAGTTTATCTCGAGAACAAATATAAGAGATTAAATACTAATGAATCTCTTTTGTTCTTTGGAAATAATTATTTTATTTTTGTTAATTTTCTTAAGCAAACAGTCCGTTTCGAATGTGAAATGAAAATACTAATCTTTCCGGTTAGAATATGTGACGGGTCAGGCGTTTCGGACCAGTTTTCTGTAGGAAACAGTGAAAGTAAATCTATTGTTCTAAACATCATCATCATCATCAACAGCTGATCGGATGTTCTTTGTCCTGTCCGCAAAAGGGACGTTGAACTTGTATAATATTTACTAAAAAAAAAAAAAAATTTCCAAAATTATAATTTTTTTTCATTTTTCTTTGTTAGTAATTTGATTGCAAGTAAATTAAATTCGAGAAATAACTGTGTCTTTTAATAATATCGAATTCAATGAAATCCTATATATTGAGAATGTCTTATTTAATCTTCTTATCTGATTTTTTAAAAAAATAGATCAATTTCCGTGGGGAAATCGTATTAGATTCTTTTTCGTTTTGATAAACGTGAAAAAAAAAATTCGCGCGGCAATTCGTGTCTCGTTTTCCTATTTTTCTCTCTCTCTCTCTTGTGTATCCAGACTGAATACCAGAGAGAAGTACATATTCGAGTCGATACATTGATGTCGTATACGCGACTGCTCGTTTAGGATGTATACGTTGTAGGATAAAAAAAAGACAAAAAAAAAAAAAAACAAGAAATCGAACAATGTAGTTTTAACGGGATACACAATATCGATTGGCAATCAGAGACTCTATGACCCAGGGAAAATAATGCTGAATCTGCCACAAAAACTAGGTAGATAAATTAATTTCCATAGATAGCTGGCTTTAAAATAAAATCGTCACTTTTCAATATAACCTTTTTTATTTTCAATATAAAAGGATATATTTATTAATTTTTTCGATTTTATCTACCTATATTACAAATAGATATCGCCGCCGCCGCCACTGTTTTAAGAATCTGAATATAGTCACAAGTCCCCTACCCTCTCCATCCCTCCCGCCAAAAATTACCTAAATTTTGAGGTTATGTTCGTTCCAAGACTCTGAATATAGCCACAAGTCCTCCCCTCTACCCTCCATCCCTCCCGCCAAAAATTACCTAAATTTTGAGGTTATGTTCGTTTCAAGACTCTGAATATAGCCACAAGTCCTACCCTCCATCCCTACCGCCAAAAAATTACCTAAATTTTGAGGTTATGTTCGTTTCAAGACTCTGAATATAGCCGCAAGTTCTTCCCCCCCTCTCTCTCCGGATTTCCCGCCAAAAATGACCTAAATTTTGAGGTTATGTTCGTTTCATACTCTGAATATAGCCGCAAGTCCCCTCTACCCTCCATTCCTTCCGCCAAAAATGACCTAAATTTTAAGGTTATGTTCGTTTCAAGACTTTGAATATAGCCGCAAGTTGAGGTGGATTTCCCGCCAAAAATGACCTAAATTTTGAGGTTATGTTCGTTTCAAAACTCTGAATATAGCCGCAAGTGGAGATGGATTTCCCGTCAAAAATGACCTAAATTTAGAGGTTATGTTCGTTTCAAGGCTCTGAATATAGCCGCAATTTCTCCCCCCCCCCATTTTCGTAGGAGGTGTAGGTTTCTTGCCAAAATAACCAAAATTTAGAGGTTATGTTCGCTTAAAGACTCTGAATATAGCCGCAAGTTATATTCAAGGAAAAAAACAGAACCTCAAAATTTAGGTCAAATTTTGACGGGAAATGACCAAAAAACAAACATAACCTCAAATGTAGGTCAAACCTTAAATTTTAGGTAAAATTTTTTTAGAGAAATACTTTTAGTATAGCGAAAATTTTTTGGTCTTATCTATTAGTCGTGGGAATTTTTTTTTTTAAATTGGTTATAGTAATAATAAAGATTTCATTCTCCTTCAACTCTCAGTTCATGAACAATAAGAAGTTGGAAAGATTTGTTTTCAAAAAAAAAAAAAAAGTCGTATCGAGTTTGAATCGTGATTGCGGAAGCACGAGCTTTATTTGAATTTGCTTACGGGTTAGTTGTGAGTCATGGAAATCCTGTGGAATTTATATGAATAATTCAGTGAACTTAATCACGATGCAAAAGTCACCATAGCACACAACACCCTCTTTTCCCTTTCGTCCAAAGATATTTAATAAAGAAAAAGATATACAACAATTGTTTACGCGAATTCTAGTTTTCTCTTGTTTTTCATTTTCTCAAGAGAAGCGAGCAAATATTTTCCAAAATTTCAATTATTATTATTGTTATAAGAAATTTTTGTTTTTATCAATTTTAAAATCGTTAAAAAAAAAAAAAAAAAAAAGAAAACCATAAAAATATTGGTGAAATATAATTTGAAAAAGAAATTAAATTTTTAATATTTTTGAAATCGAGAAATTTGTGAGAAAACATCTGGGATACTTAAATATATAAATGATTTATTCATTTTAGAAGGACTTTTCCTTTTCCTTTGTGCATAATTTCATTTCCGGAACTCGTGCCCCCGTTTCATCTTTTCTTTTTTTTTTTCTTTTCTTTTTCTTCTTTTTTTCAGATTGGCTCGAGTGCAGAGCTCGAATAGTACTTTTGCATTTCGTTTCACTTCACTTGTCCCATGAATGAAAGAGAAAGAAAAGGAATGTATAAAAAGCGACCAATTTCTTGATGGAAAAGTAAAAGAGTAGTTTATTCGATAAAGAGAGCGCGAGTGTTTAAAGAAAATGCGCTCGTTTCGTGAAAAATTGTAATGAGATAGAAAATACCCCGAACGTATATAATAATAATAATATAAAATATAACTTAATAGAATAAACGAATTTAAACCAAGTTCAAAGAAAAATGTTTCATTATGTAAATTATATATAACTCCGTTATTATAGCCTCGAAAGAAATTTCATTGATATAATTTTGAAATAAATCAGAATTTGGATTTTACGGATTTTATCAGCATTAAACACAATTTAAGATTAAAAAATTAATTTTCTAAATTAATGAAAAATTATAAAATTAGTTTGTTTAGGGTTTAACTGTCTGCGATTTAATTGTATAATGTTTAACAAA